ATAATATCCAAGAAAATTTTTATTCGACGGAGATAGAGATTAGCTCTATCTAGTGGGCCCAACTGTGTAGGAACCTTAAGACGGAGATAGAGTCCCATCTCCGAAACGTCGTTTTACGTTTTATATTTACTAGACGATGGATAATATCCAAGAAAATTTTTATTCAATTAAACCGATAACGTTACTTAATATCTAGTTGCAATGTCTGCTCCATTCACTTCACAACAGTTTATAAACTCCTGACTACATTTCTTTTCCTAGAGACAAACAAGAAAGCGGACGATAAGTGCATTTGCATTTATGAGGGCGAAATGAAACCCGTTCACAGCGGGCGGTCGCAGGTCGTCAAATGTCTGTGGATATGACACACGAGCAGCCGACCATGATTTGCGTTAGAGCAAACGAAAACGAAGGCTTTCCGGACGCAGAATCTGTCCAAATAAGAAATCGATTGACCATTGGTGATGGCATGACATCACCATCAACGCACAGCGCCACTGTGGAACCCTCCGAGATCTTCGTACTCCACCAGGAGTAAGGGTCTTGACGTGTTCATGAACGGTGTCACCGTTTTGAACTACAAAGCCCTTCTTCACGTGCCAGAAGACTTGGACGCTCAAGAGAAAGCCGATGGTTCGCAGATTCGGGTAGAACGGAAGACGTCGAGTGATTTCAACAGACGCCCAGGTAGTTCCTTGCGGAGGGGATCCGTCGATTTTTACGTCAATTGGGAGGAGGGGGAGGGAGGGTGTATACTCATCACGCGATCCTCGAACGGATTGCATTTGAACAAACCTCATCTTTGTTTATTTGTTTAAATCTTGTCAGTCAAATCATAATAAAATTCCTATTAAATATTAAAATATTACTAAAATTAACATTTAAATATTTAAAATGTTCTCTATCGAAATGTTCGATTTACATTAGATCAACATTTTTTACACGACATGTTTCAGTTCTAAAAGGACCATCTTCAGGTGTATAAAAATAAAAAAACTTAAATATAATTTCTTAAATGCAACTTTTAGTCAGATGTTTATCAGATTTCAAATGATGTTTTCTTCCAGATTTTATTGTATTTTTTTAATATCGTATTCGACGTTGTTCTGTATATGTACGTCGTGCTTAACATGATTTTGTGTGGGTGAACGTTTTGTTGTTGTTTTTGTATCATCCAGAAATGAAGTTGTGGAGGAGTTACGTCCGTCTGGAAGTATTGCAAGTATCTCAAACCTCATCTTGTTATGGAACAGCTGACCCGTCTTAAATTCCACGGTAAATTAATCCAGTAAAGTCTTCCCAGGTGATCGTTATCATCGGTTCTGATAATGGTGATAGGGCAGTCCTCAGCTTTTAACTCAGATCTGACGAAATTGATTCTGATGCACGGAGGATTTTTCTATATTACCCTCAGTCCCTCGAGACGTGTGCCGGATTAATACCTTAAACAGAGCCGAGACCAATTCTTCCTGGTAATTTCCCAGTTCTCAGTTCATTATCTATTTGAGACTGTATATTCCGAGCCAATGACGGCGTCCTTAAATAAACTTTACTCTTGATAATTTACAAGGGAAATAAATATCATTTTCAGTGCAGA